TTGAAAACTCAACCTCCTTTGCCATTTCTGTTATCTAAATGTGTTCTGTTGTACATAGGGTTTTCAGAGGCCTGCTGTTTCAGAAGTGGATGGCCAATCCTTCTTCCTAGTCTGTCTCAATGTGAATGTTCAGATTTAGAGAAGTATTAGACAGACCAGCAAGTTAAAGGTATATCTCTTATTGCGGAGTTAGCTTTAGTGTCAGTGTTGTCCCTGCCTGTCTCACATGCACCTTTATGCACTTATTTCCTGCTTCACCATCCCGCAGGATACCCATCCACTTCTGTCCCCTCCCTTCACATCTATCTCCCTTTCACCAGCCCTCCATCTAATAACTTATATGTGAAGCTTCCATGGCTTCTGTGATTTGAAACACATCAGCTGATGGTACTTCCTTATGTTGGGATCAGTGTCTCTGACGTTTAGTCGCAATATTTATCGGTCAAAGGTGATGCATCATGTAGAATTGCTGAGAAAATAGGGTGGTTCTGCGAGGTCTGATGGCTGTCCTGTGAGGTGCCCAACTTCAGCTAGTCAGAGCCTAGCCTCTCTTTTGACCTTTCTGCCGGAACGGATGTCGCGGGCTTTTGGCGTCTCTGATTACCTGAGAAAATAGGGTGGGTCTGCGGGTTCTGATGGCTGTCCTGTGAGGTGCCCAACTTCAGCTAGTCAGAGCCTAGCCTCTGTTTTGACCTTTAAAGGAATATTTTATTTTCTTTCTTTTCCTTTATAATTCAAGGACAAATCTGTAGTGAGTTTGGGATTTTTTTTTAAGAAAGTTTCACCTGAGATGGAGGTATAGGTAAAATCTGTTTACCTTAAGAGCACTGAATATCTTATGGATTGCCAAAAGAACATATGTCTTAGAGAAAGTATATCCAGAGTGGTCCTTGGAGGCAAAGATGGTGAAACTTTGTGTCATATACTTTGGGCATGTTGCTAAGAGGGGCTATTCCTTTGAGAGGGACATTGTGCTTGGAAAGGTGGAGAGCCAGCAAAAGAGAGGTAGACTTTTAATCAGGTGGAGTGACAAAGTGACTGTTAGAATTGGCTCCTAGTGTGCCAGAATATATGAGGATGGCATGGAATAGGACAGAGTTCAGATCTGAGGGTTCCTATGGATTGTACTTGAAGGCACCTAACAACATGTTGTTATTGTGTACTGTTAAGTCGGAACCAACCCACAGATGACCCTCCAGTGGCTTTTGAGAGGCACTTAATCGCACAGGAGGAGATTGCCCGTTCCTTTCCCACAGAGCAGCTGGAGGATTTGAACTGCGTGCCGTCAGGATTGCAGTGCAACTTCTTGCCATTTACCCTAATTGTTTTCTGATATTAAGGGTTTTTTCCTTTATTCCCATTATAGCACTCATGCCATCTTTTACTGGATTTTTTTGCTTTTAGTGACTAAATAAGAAATAATATATAATAAAATAACTAAATAAATAATTATAAATAATAAAATAACTTTTCCAATATACTAATATGACAAAAACATGAATACATAAAATTTGATTGTATGTGGCAACTGAGTTGGTAT